TGCTTTCCATATACACAGTATTCACTCACTGTATGTTACTTTTCCTAACCTTCCAATTTAACTGAATCTAACAGAACCTATTAAATTCAGTTTGATTGCATAAGATTATGACAGTCATTAATTAGCCAGATTTTTAAGTGAATTAAAGATAAACTACTTGGTTAAGAGGGCTTTTTCCTTTTATTCACCTGCTGTTTATTACAATGGAAAGTAGAATACCAATATTTTTAAAACTTCATTAAGAGTGTAATACTGACCTTTCCTGTTTCTGAATCAGGCCAGGTTTGAAACTTGCTGTTCATTTAAATTTACACCAAAATCTATATCAGTTTGGGAAAATTTGATTGCAATTTTAAAATAATGCAGCCGACGGATCCAATTTTACTCTCCACTTCAACAACAACAAAAAAGCTGAACAACAGATTTACCTCAGGAATTATTTCTGAGGCAAGTATATAATAAAGATTCATTTTTATTTGTTCTTTTTCCCCCATCTATGTCGCCACCAAAAAAGCAGATTATAAAACTTAAATTATACAAATGTCAGAAGCTCTTGCAAGTAAGCTTCTTGGTTTAGCTAAAAATGCTTGACTAGCCTTTTAAAGTTTTCTTTCATTTTTTTGGTAGCAGACATAATTAATCATTTGCTAAATGTTAACAGTTTCTGTTTTAGAAGAAAAGAGCTTTGCTGCTAAAAAAATTCCTGTTAGTAAATTGGAAGCTCTTTTGCTTAGTTTTTACCTTTATGAGAGCATCAGAATCCGTTTAGAAATTAACCAATTGAGGCAAGTCATCTCTCATCTTAGGAACATAAACGTTGAAATTTTTTTAAAAAGTGTTATCAAGCTTCTCTCCCTCCACATGAGCAGGCTTTCATATTACTATTGACTGTTGTTTAAAATTTAAAAAGGGTATTCATTGCCATGGGTGGGGGGCAGGGTGCATAAGATAGTTTTTCCTTTGGCACAGGTTCACTTAAAACAAATATTAAAAACTTCAGGTCCTCCTAGAAAGAAAGGAGGATGGTATCGTGTACTTCTTACAGTTTTTTTTTTTCAATGACATACAAATGCACCTGAAAATACAAGTTACATAACAATGTCTGCACAAACTTTATGCCTAGAAAAGGGATGCTGACAGCTGTATGAAGAGTGAAAACTAAAAGTACATTTTATGGTAGTTGTGTCAATGATTTTAAAATATATATGTATTGTCACTTGAGGAAAAGAAAGATCATTTAAACAACTGGACTTTATCAGAAAACAGGTATTGAGGAGACCGAAAAAAACTTAAATGTTGTCCATTCACCACTGAGGATACTACTCATTGAATAACAAAGATTATCTAACAAGTCTCCAGTTCTTAAGATGACCTATAGCAATACCAAAAATAATAACATCCTCTACTGGAATCAGACAAAAACGCAGTAAAACAAGGTTGAGCACAGCCTTTCCACACAGTAGTTACAAGTTGCTCAAGAGTGGAGTTCTAAAATTTATTTTGATTTTCTTAAACTCACTCACTTGTGACCAATCTCGTGTGCAATGGTAAAAGCTGAACCCAGGCCAATGTCTTCATTAATGCTGCAGCTCCTTTCAGGCTCACACATTCCAGCCACAGAGGCCAAGCCTGAATAAACAGAAAGAGACATAAAGGGTCAAGCCAAGGTGTTTCAGTCTTTAAAAGCCCATACTTATAAATGCCTGGATTCTTTTTAATAACCTCCATGCACAGAAGGAGCTGTTGGCAAAAGGTTAACTTTCTAGTCATTTGCAAAATCACTGGGGGGAATTTCACTTTGCCGGCTAGACATTAATATTTTTTGAACTGCAGTCAGTGCTGGAAAATGTCTAGACTAGGGGTTAGATTTATAAATTTTACTTCTGGTAACTTGGGACCACCTAGTAACTTGAGCCAGAAGAGGGAATTCAAGAAAGCATTTCTATTTTAACATTCTTCAGGCTGTAGAAAGCAAAATATATCCACATTATTTTTCTAAAGAGATCTGTTTAAGTTTAGTGGGTTCATAAAAATATACAAGCAACTTTCTAGTTACCAAAAAAAGGGGGAATCCCAAATGATTTTTTAAGTGATATTTTTATTAAAAATAAAATGAATGATTCAAAAGAGGTAAAGGAGAACTGTTAAAGATGGGAGGTTTTTGCATTTTTTTTAAATCTTCTGAAATTAATCCTGACAGTGATGCAACAATTTCTTTGAGTATTTTAATAGGAGGAAAGTCATTCACACATTCAGTGTCATTTTTCCTCTCGCCTATCCCCTACTTCAATGCATTAGAGTTTTACTAATAAAGCAAATACTATGGTGTTAATTCGCTGATTCCAGTGAAATGTTATGTTACTCAAGGTATTCTTCCCTTGGGGATTTTAGTATGCAAAAGTTTTAATATTTACTTTCAAATGAATATTATGCTGTGTGAAATACTATAGAACTTTAAAACAGTGCTTAGAAAAATGAATTTTTGTGCAAAAGCAAAAATGTCATCTCTTATAAGGAAACAGATGCCAAATCATACTTCATGCTCATAGAAACAAAAAGTTATTTAGAAGAAGTTGAAGGGGAAGCAGGAAAAACATTTTTTATGGTTAGTAGTCTACTATCATCACCCACTTTCCCACCAAAAGTGATTTCAATTCAATTCAATGAATATTTATTGAATGCAATAAGCAATGTTCTATGTTAGGTATAATTTCACAGATGTACTAATTAGAAACAATAAATGCTATTCAATCCATGTTTTTACTGACAAGAAAGCTCCAGAAGTTGTGTTTCCCTGTATTTTCTAATATAAGTATGAACATAACAGCTACATTGAAACAGAGATGAGATTAGTGCTGGATTTGCTAATAGATTGTTTGCTTTTCCTTCTGTTTTATGCGAGAGGGGCAGGAGTTAGGGAGGGAGTTGATTTCTGCCTCACAGAGTTATAAATGCTAGTGATAACCCTGAGCTGCTTTTCTATTCATTAGAGGCATTGGGACCTGAAAAAGAGAATGTAAAAGGTGGAGCAGGATAATTTATTTTTTTGTTTCAGTCAATTTTTTTGTTAATATTTAATATCTGTTTAAATATTAAAAATATTTTAATGAATGTGATTTCCAATCTCCACTGAAAGAGAGACACATACAGTGAACTTTACTTTTATTTTGAGAAAAATAAAATGAGAAGTAGAGTAGGAAAATATCTGAAATCTTGAAAAAAAAAATGTTGCAGTATATTATCTGGCTTCACATTATTTGGTTCAAAGTGGCCTATTATATTGGAAGAACAAAGTCACTCTGAATACTGTTTCTGTTTTGAGCGTTATGAAATGTATTTTTTTTTAAGAAAAGCATAATTACTAAGAATAATTATTATTAAATTAATGTTTCTTACATTTCCTAACATTTATTATTCCATGGGCTAGCTTTTGAGTTTTGTTGTTGTGTTGTTTTTTGGTATGTGCCATGTGGCTGTATTTTCAATTGACAGTTCTCAAGGACCCCCTCAAGGTATATTTACAAGCACAGATTTATTTCTGCCATCTTATATAAAATTGTTATCTCCACTAAAACAACAACTTAAGAAAGAATATACTTGGGAAATTACTACTTATTAAAATATAAAGCCAAATCTTAACTAAAATGAAAGTATTTTAAATGCTAATGTGTTTTCACATCCCACCACAATTTTCTGTATCCCTATAAAATTGAGACTGTCAAAGGTCTTATGTGTGATTCGGTTAAGAGCTGTTTGATTACTATTTGGGTCATTTAGATTTCCTCAGCTTGATGGCCACAGTTTGCACCCTTAAACCTACTTATCCATGTTATAATTGGTCATCAGAATTATTAAGCAAGAGACTCTGGAAAAATCAGTATGAAAACCAATATGAAAGTGACTAGAATACAACTTCAAAAGTAATTTGGTCAATTCTGTACTGATAATATATTTTCCACAGATGAAGCTAAGATGTGTATGTGTATATATATATACATATATAAACATACATATATATGCACTCATTCAGTTTTCACTACAAGAAGTAGTATAAAAACAATATACAAGTCTATAATAACTTAGATTGAGCTTGAAGGTGCATTGGCACTTACTTATTAATGTACTGATTCTATAAATTAAAACACTATCAATGTTAGAACACATTATTTAAAAAAAAATGAGTAGTGGAATAGGAAAATACCTCAAATCTTTGCCAATAATGACAACAAAAGTACTAGGCAGTGGTCTTACTTATGTCATTAGATTGGTGCAAAAGTAATTTTAAAAGTAACGGTGAAAACCACAAATTACTTTTAACCAGGCTAATACAACGAAGAGCATATCTAGATATAAATAATCTACCTTCAAAAAGCAGAATATATACATAATTATATAAATTTATACATATGTATATGTAGAGAGAGGATGTATATATATACAGAAAGAGAGAGAGAGAGAAATACACACATATATACAGTAGATTGTTTGCTTTACCTATTGTTTTATGCAAGAGGGGCAGGAGTTGGGGATGGAGTTGATTTCTGCCTCACAGAGTTATAAATGCTAGTGATAACTTATATCACTAGTGATACAATATATGTGTGTATTTCCCTCTCTCAGAAAATATATATAAATATATAAATTTATACATATGTATATATATAGAGAGAGGATATATATGTATTTAGAGAAAGAGAAATACACACAAATATACCACCATTTCTTCAAATATAGATATACTAGAAAAATGCTAGCTGTAACTAATATGTGCACCTGATTTGAGGTCTGGTATCTATTATAACTAAAATTGATTGAACACTTAATAAACACTTAGAGAATCTGTGTACAGTAAATATGGGGGGTAAGTTCAAAAGTATAGGTAATTTCCACATTAAATAATACCAGTTCATTTTTATACTACTTCTTTCCTAAATTCATCTACAATTTTTTCCTTAAATGATTTTAACAATGTCCATGTAGCCTAAGGGCAAATATTACTCCTACATTATAGGTAAGAAAGTTGAGGAACAAAGAGGTTAAATACACTGTAAAAGCTAATGCACTGAAACTGTCAAAGCCAGTTGTTAGTTCCCAGTTCAGAGTTCCCTCTGTTGGATTATGATGCTCTCGTTAGCTTTAAACGCTGCAAAGTAAATCATTTTGATGTGAACTTGCTCAGCAAAGACAGCTCTGTCTGCATTATGCTTTTTAACTAGCAAGCTTCTCCATAATTAATACTCAGCATTGGCTAATTGGGATTTCTTCTTCAGCCATAAATCCTAAGGGAAATGGGTAGGAGAAGCCTGGGAAGTCACGTAAAATTATCAAGAGAAGTTTTAGTTTCTGAAGAGATGTTTCACTGAACTTCCAGGAAGTTAGAAAACACTTTTCCTCCTACATCTACTTTATTTTGATCTTTCCAAAATGATTATGAGGTGCATAGGAATCAATTTCATAAGTATTCTTTTACAGATAAGAAAATTGAGACTTGTCATAGAGAAACTGGAGAATTCACCTTCAGTCATTTAACTTCTGAGTCTGTAAGAAGTCTCTATGACATTAAAAAATTTATAGTAGAAAAAAAGCTTCTGTCCTTTAAAATAACTCTAGTTGCTTAAAAATTTAGACTACTGGAGAGCTACCCTTTTTGCCCATTTGTATTTGCAGTTAATTATGAAATTATGCTCTATAACAGGGTGTAATTTTTTTTAATTCCAGAATATTACAGAAATGCTTTTAAAAAGACAAATGATCCTTAGGGAGCACAAGAAAGATAATCCTGTCCTCTCTCTTCACCTGTTGCTATAATATTTTATAAGATTACTTTTTGTTGTTGTTTGGGTAGTAGAAATTTCCAATAATATCTTAATTTATGGGGGCTATACTCTTTCCACAAAACCGTACCAAAAGAAGTATTGTTCTTGATGCCTCCTCATTACACATCCCTAGCTGTTGTTGTTTTTTTTTTTCCTTTCCTTTCCTAGCCTAAAATTTCAAAATGTTGACTGCTTTCATTTGCTCTCACAGTCTTGGTATTTTTCGAAAATATATTACAGAGATAGATTATATGAAAATGAGTGATACCTTCAATTTATAATTCCTTAATGATTTTTAATCATATTCTGTTAATTTTAATAATCATTCCAGTTGTCAAAAAAGCCAGTGACATTTATATAATATTTATGATAGCAATAAATACTCGTTTCCTAGTAAATGACATGTCCACAAAGGCTGGCTATAACAGGTTATAGGGATTTCAGATGCACAGAATGAAAAATGGCCAAATTAATACTAAAGATTAAAGTCACTGGTTCAAAAAGACAATCTGAACCATTCAACCTTTATTTAAAAAACAAAACAAAACAACTTACCCAGTGTTCCGCAGGGCTTATTTTTATAAGTGCAGATATCGTATCTATGGAGGAAAAAAAGAGATACAATTTGTAATCTGATCAAATTTGTAAAATATTTTTATATATTCATCACATCTCTCTCCTGGAGCTCCAATATCAGACCACAATCAATGCAATTACGAGCAGTTAGCTGGAGTGTCGGCATTTTCGGCACGCCACAGTGCTGAGGGACACAACAGGCAGCACTATCACAGCCTCTGGCTGCAAGCTAGTAGAACACCTGCCAGTTAGCAAGGTTAAAGTGGATTTTTGTAATCCCAAGTTCCATAAAACCATCTACCATGCTGTTTTGAAGCTGGAGTAGCTTATCTGCAGATTGCTACTACTTCTGCAAAAAGCAAATAGGTGGCTTCTTATTTTCAGTCTCCTTTAAACTTGCAGGAATATGGTTTTGTTATAGCCACAGACTGTAGTTTATACTTCTGAGCTACAGGCACTATTTGGAATTGCTTTAACTCTAGCACAGGTTCTTGCTAAAGAATAAAAGAGGCCAGGAGCGGTGGCTCATGCCTGTAATCCCAGCACTTTGGGATTATCACTTGTGCCATAACCCACTTACATACAAAATATAGAGACAAAAGAGTGAATATACATTGAAAACTAGGAAAAAGATTCATATAGGATATACATCTAAAACAGGTCTTAAAGATTATGGCAGATAAAAAAAGAAAAGCAGGTCAGGCATGGTGGCTCATGCCTGTAATCCTAGCACTTTGGGAGGCTGAGGTGGGTGGATGACGAGGTCAGGAGTTTGAGACCAGCCTGGCCAGCATGGTGAAACTCTGTCTCTACTAAAAATACAAAAAATTAGCTGGGCATGGTGGTGTTTGCCTGTAATCCAAGCTACTCAAGAGGCTGAGTCAGGAGAATCACTTGAATCCATGAGGCAGAGGCTGCAGTGAGCCGACATCGCGCCACTGCACTCCAGCCTGGGCGACAGAGTGAGACTCTGTCTCAAAAAAAAAAAAAAAAAAAAAAAAAGTAAAAGCATTCCCAGCAGAGAACAGAATAGTCAAAGGAACAAAGTCTAGAAAGTATATGGCATATCTAAAGAACTGTGAGAATTTCAGAGACGCTGAAACAATGAATGCTAAACCAGATTTGTTCTTCTTATAGACAAAAGCAACTTAGAAAACAGTTTGCATAGTAGGAAAGGATTTTTTCAAAACATGAGTATATATACAGATTGAGTTTATACTTAGAAATAAATCTGGAAGGATTACACTGCGTATCCAAGGGAGAGGTGGAAGAGTAGGGAGAATACGCACACATATATACATTTCTGTACAACGAACATTTAATCAGAAAGTATTTCAGCTATGCCTGTCTCTGATGATAAACACAAACTATTCTCTGTGCTGTCAGTCCCATATTTCTTACAAATATAAAGAATCTTGAGAAAGCATGTAATTCAAGCTTTACTATGCTTAAGCCATTGTCTCTCAAAGTAGGCCAAATATGAACCAGCTTATTTCAATTCCTTGATATAACTCTCAGTATTCTCCCATCTTATCTTTAAATATAATTTTTAATTGTATGCTGTGATCATAATCTTCACTAACTTCACACCCCTTTCTTTCTTTTACCTAACTTTCTCATTTTTATTTTGCATCACATTCACTCTATATCCCATCAACTCTTCTCTGCCATACTGTGGGTTCGCCTTATTTTCCTCCAGATCCTAGTCACTTCAGGAAAAATTACAAAGAAAAATAATACAAGAAGCCTTGCTTTATCCCAAAGATACAATTGGTATACTTTTAGGACTTTTCTTGTAGCAATACAAATTGAAGAAATAAGAGATTGAGGAAAAGGAATTCCCACTGCTTACTCTCAACATCCTTTACATAACTTTGTCACTACTAAATCCTTACCAACCCACAGGTGGTAGGAGCCCCCAAACTTAGGCCTGTGATCCTAACTTCAGACTAGGCTAAGAAGTACACTGGAATGCTAAGAATTAAAATAAAAGACGAAATAAAACTGGAAAATGTTCTTTATTCTGAAATTGGATAGAAAAATAGTACCTTATCACTATGGTAATTTTTTTTTTTTTTTCGTGAAATTATAATAAAGGCTTTAGGTCAGATGAAAAAGAATTAAGAAAGATAGTCATAGGGAATCTACATAAAGCCCAGTACTTTAGGGAAATCAGGGTTCCACTTTTGGGTGAGTAGAAGAATGCATATGTTGCCAGCCTTTTACCCTAAATTCATAAAGTTGGACAATTGAGCAAGATCAAAAATAGAGAATTTGGTTGAGACTGTAACAATGGTATATTTTTCTGTTATGAATACTTTCAACTCTTTAATCTCCTAGTCACTTTTGCCTAGGCATGGCTATCAGAAGAAACTGACCAAAACACATGATTAAGTTGCATTTTAAGATCTCCAAAATATAGCATTATCTTCCACCACCAGCAGACATGACCCCAGGCCAGCCAAGCAGCCCTGTGCCTGAATCCCAAGCCTGAAAAGCAGCCCATGGGCTGCCTCTGAAAGACACACCCTCCCAGCTGGCCAAGCAGCTGTGCGCTTGAGCCCAGAGCAAGACATAAACCCCCCTGGACTACCTGCAGCAGACATACACCCAGGCCAGCCAAGAAGTCATGTGACCACATCCCAGGCCTAAGAAACAGCCGTGTGGGACATCCCTGGCAAACCTGCCCCTAGGCTAACCAAGGAGCTATGCAGCTGTGTCCGAGACAAGAGAAACAGCCTATAGTCTGCCTAGCAGACATGCCACTAGGCCAGTGAGCATCCTTATGCCTGTGTCACAGGCCTGAGAAATAGCCCTGTGGGCCAACCCTGGCAGACACGTCCCCATGCCAGCCAAGCAGCTGTGCACTCATGTCCTGGACTTGAGAAATAGCCCTCCAAGTCACTCTTGGCAGGCACACCCCAAGGCTGTCTAAGTAACTGCATGTCTGTGTTTCCAATCAGAGTAATAGCAGAATGGCCCTAACCCTAGTAAGTTAGACCACAAGCTAGCCAATCTACCATGTGCACACATTTCTGACATGAGAAATAGTCCAGCAAGCCCACCCCTGGCAAAGCTACACCACCATCAAAACAAACTCTATCAGCCTAGGTCACTGAGAAATTCACAAATACCTCTAGTGTGAATTATAGATGAAGAAACTACACACAGACAATACTACCATGTCTACCTAGAACCAAGGCCAACAGACCCCACCAAACTGACACCCCATGACCCACTTATATGGATTAATCTTTCCCTATGAAACCTACACCATAAAATTAGAAGAGGTAGCTTTTCTACCAGCTGTGTAGAAATAAATATGGGAACACATCAATCATTTAAAAAAAAAGGAAAAAAAAATGTAACCCCCAAAGAAAAGCAATAATTCTTCAGCAACAGAAACCAAATTATAAGGAAATACATGAAATGCCAAAAAAAAAAAAGAATGCAAAAACATAATCTTAAGGAAAGTGAGATATAATATAGACAATTCTATGAAATCAGAACAATTAATGTTTTAATTGATAAAGTCAATAGAGATAAATATCAAATAAACAGAGAAGAAAAGATAAATACTAGAATAGAAGAATTAAACGAAGGAAATAACTATAATCAAGACTTTCAACAACAGACTAGACCAGGCAGAAGAAAGAGCTTCCAAACAGAAAGACAGGTCTTTTGAAATAACACAGGAAGACAAAGAAAAGAGAAAAAAGAATGAAAAAAGCCTACAGCATTTATGGTACACCAGTAAATTAACAAAAGTTTGTATTATGAGCTTCCAGAAGGGGAAGAAAAGGAAAAAAGTGAGGAAATCATATTTTATTAAATAATAACAGAAAACATCCAAAGATTTGGGAGAGAGATGGGCTTCCAAAGTCTTGGGAGACAGTCCAGAAAGCTCAAATAACTCTAAATGGATTTACTCCAAACAGTCCTCTCCAAGGCACATATAGTCAAATTGTCAAAAGTCAAAGCAAAGAATTTTAAAAGCAACAAGAGAATAGTGTCAAGTCTTATATACACAAATCACCATTAGACTAACAGCTAATTTCTCAGCAGAAACCTTACAGTCCAGAAGAGAATGAGATGGTATGTTTAAAGCACTGAAAAAAAAAAGCCACCAAAGAATATTATGCCCAGCAAAGCTATCCTTCAGAAATTTAAAAAAAAAGAAAAAAAATCTTTCACAGACAAGCAAAAACTGAGGAACTTTATTACCATTAGGCTGCCTTACAAAACATGCTCAGAGAAGTCTCACATCTGGAAATCAAAAAATAATAACCACCATTATGAAAACATGTGGGGTTATAAAACTCACTGGTCAAGCAAATATACAAAGAATAAAGAGAAAGGAATCAAACCTCAGCACTACAGAAAACCACCCAATGGCAAAAGTCAACAATAAGAGAAGATGGAAGGAGCAAATGATAAACAAAATAACTGGAAAACGATCAAGAAAATGACAGGAATAAGTCGCTATTAATAGTAACCTTGAATGTAAATGGATTAAATACCCCATTGAAAAGATTTAGACTGGCTAAATAGATTAAAAAAAATAAAAGACCCAATATATATATTGCCTGCAAGAAACATACCTCGCCTGCTTGAGGATGCAAGATGACTGAATAGGAACAACTCCAGAGTGCAATTCCCAGCAAGAACAGCACAGAGGGTGAGTGCTCACTGCATTTCCAAACAAGTTTTCACTGCCCACAAACCAGGAGATTCCTGGGCCGAAAAGTGCCACAAGTTTTCGGCGCAGTGGATACTGCTGGTGCTGACTGGGTGGACAGAAACTCACACAAGTCTGGGCGGCTGTTTCGACTGGTACCGGGAATGCCTGGGAGACAGAGCCGCCCATCCAAGTGAAAGGGAGGGGACTGAGACAGGGAGCCAAGCGATCTG